GGCTTTTGGCCGCTATGTGTTATCCACCAATTATGGTGGAATTAATGCCCCTCAGACAGTCAACACATTGTGTCAGTTACAGCCCTTGGAGCACTATGCCAATTCTGGTTTTTGTCTTGCTAAAGAAGCTGCAAAAAAAGAGAGAAAATTAACTTTGTGTCAATGGTGTGGAAAAACTAAAGCTCTTTAGCATGTATGTACTTAGTTAAAGAAACCATTCTTCTGTAAGGTATGATTTGTAAGCCACTTTTTTCACCTTTTCTTACACCAGGAACTAAGGCAAAAGCTTTTTGTTCCCCCACTAATGGCTGAATCTGATTTACTTTGAAGCCAATGAAATGTCCTCAGACAGCTAAAAATACAAAACTGTTCTCCAAGTTTTCAATTTCTTCTATTGTTTTTAGAAAGTTACTCCCAGCGAGTTTCCAGGGGAGCAATTTGCTTTAATACAAACAGACAGCAGGAATAATTCAGTTAACCTGGGATGACTATAAACTGCAACCCTGATCGTAAGAACATTCCAGCTCCCTCTCATGTTGTCTCAACGTCTGACCTGCTTTACTGTGTTTCCGGAGGTTAATGCCAAATACAGGAATGATGAAGGGAGAAATTGCTTAACTTTTTGTGTTTTCTTTCGGAGGGCAGCAGGGTTTAAGGATAACCAATTGAGCCTGTAAACATTTGGATGCTTGCCATGTCTTCGTTCGACTTCCAGCCTGCTTCAACCGTGATGTTTGCCTTTGATTTGTTTCCTCTTTTTTGTTCCATAGCATTCAGAAGACAGACGTTGAAAGAGAATGTCATGATGACAGTGTCTCCACCTGTTCACTACCACCTGCATATGAAGACATCTAACCCAACAGAAAAAACATCTATCTATCTATCTATCTATCTATCTATCTATCTATCTATCTATCTGAACCTATGGTTTTAATAAAAATTATTGAATGTAACTTCACTTTCTTTCAGTTTGTCCCACTTTCTTTCTTTTCTTTTTTCTTTTCTCTGTGTCTTTCTTTATTTCTTTTCCTTGTCATGTTTCCATCCGTCTTTTGTTCTTTGGGACTGCTCCCTCACCCTCTTCTGCTAATTGAATGGAAAATACAAACGGTAATAAATGATCTGACTTTTAAGAGAAATCCCCTGGGTTTTAATGCAGGCTGGTCATTTGAAGCTTCACACTGTAGTTTTTTATGTGTGCAAGATAAACAATTGTCACTGCACCACACGGGGGCAGAAACACTGAGAAAATCCATCAGCTTTAACAGTCAAGTCAGGTGGTTTTACAGGAACTCCTAAGATACATAGGTTATAAAATATCAAGTTGATAATAATAATTGAACGATAAGAATAATATGGCTAACAATAATCATATTAAAACGTTCGTTTAGAGCCTATCTTCATCTTTCCCCGCACCATGTTTCCCCACTCTTTGCACTGGAATGTGACTTTTCCTGTTAAATGAGTAGAAAGGTCCGATTTCTGTTATTTGTTGAATTTCACTCAGTTCCGTCCTGAGTCGATTTTTAGTTCGCATGATCGTTGAAAGTTGATAAGCTGATCAATTATTTCAAAGCAGTGCTCTCCAGGTAGAGTTTTTTTTTTTTTTAAATATTGCCATTGATTGTTCCAGTACTGAGTTAGAAAGGAAAGCTGAGGCTGCAGGAGGAGAAGCAGATGGAGCAGACGCACTGACACTTCACATAAAAAAAACTGCTTCTAAACACCAAAGAAACTTTGAAATTATCAATGAAATTATCAATTTAATTTGACTATGAATTCAACGACAAGGAGATTAAAAAATGGAACTAAATAAAACACTGAAAGTATTTTTTTTTTTAAGTTTCTTTCGGTATCATGCCTCTGAAGCCCTCACACACCGATGTTCTCTTCTTAATGGTGTGCTCACAAACTTTATGGGTTTGTGAGTTTATCAGCTATTCAGACGACAATAAAAGCTTTAAAAAAATCTAATATTTCACACGTGAAATAATACTTCCACCACATGCTTTCCATTAATTTTTTTATTTTTTTTTCGAAAACGTCTTTTGAATCGATTCAAGAAATAACGACCAGATGCTTAGATAAATCAAAAGTTTCGACCAGCAAGAACCCTTTTTGTTTTTGCTTTAAAACCAAACTATATAGGTTTTTTTTAAAGTTTCTGAAAACATGCAGAGATTCATAATTTAGAGAATTCCTGCAGGTCTGAGGTCTAAGGTGGGTGGGGGGGCTTCAAACTTCAGACCTGCGCACAAACCGCAGCGCAATATGACTTTCATTCATTTTACAGCACAGTAAAACGCGGGTGGCCATCCAGGCCCCTCATTTCACCAGCATGGAAGGAGGTACAGGCGATTTAAGGAAGTATTATGGAACACGATGAACAGTTTCAACTCTGTGTAAAAGTACGTAGATAAATACAACAAAATCCCCAAAAACTTAAAAAATCCCGATGTGAGTTCTAGGCATCGTTAATTATTTGTGTTTTGCAGAGAGTAATATGGGGAAATTTCATGTTGATTCCTACTGGGCAGGTTTTAGGGCAAAAAAGAGAAAAAAATCTGTTTTTAACAACAGCTGAACTAATGAATATGATTAATGAATGTTTATGCATTTTGCATGATGGATCAGCTTTTTCTGCGAATCCCAAAAATCACCAGAACGCTCATTTTCTGAGGGCAACAGGTGTTTCTCTCTGCATACTTCGCAGGACCTGATATAGTTCCTATTAAGCATTTTCAGACACGTGTTTTTTTGCAGGATGAGCGCGTGTGCAGCTATCAGGGTTTGATTGTAGGAGGCCAGAGCTGGAGGCCCTCCTCCCAAACCATGGGCTCCAAAGCAGCTGAACGTTTATGGAGGGATTTGGAAACAACATCTGAGATGGCATTTTCCTTTTGAAATAAATAAGAATAAAAACAAAACAAAAAAACAAATGCTTAAATAATCCCTGAAAAACACAATTAAGAGTGGGGTAATTATTACTGACCTTAAGCTGCATTCTGGCAGAGGCTGGACAGATTTTTATGCCTGCATTGTTACATCACCACACTCCCATATGGAGCACCCTAATATGAGCGGGGAGGTTTGGTCTCTGCCGCTCACAAACAGCTGAAGTTGGTGTTTAGGGCTGTAACCTGAGCTCATTGTGTGCAGAAATGCTCCTTTGGCACTCAACAGGAAGCGTTGTTTTGACTGACAAAATCTGCCCCACGTTGAAAAAACCCCTCATGAAACTAGTTAGATTTTCACACCGATTAGCCAACACTTAGAAATATCTATGAGAAATAACATATAGAAGACATGTCTATACACATATTGGTTAGAGATTTATACAAATCCCTCTGGCTGAATCATATAGTAATTTAGATTAAGTCTGGGTTGTGTGCACTGATACACACACTTCCTAAACTCTTCTTCATGTCCCTGGCACGACTCAAACTTCAGTCTGACGCATTTGCAGCCTTTGGAAAATGTCGCTGCTCATGTTTAAACTAAAATGTGTGTTTGACACTGTTCCATTCTTTAATTACGGCCCCGCTCGCTGCAGCTTGTGGGGGGATTTTAAATTTGCTTTGACTGCTAGGAAATCCATGAACCTATTCATTGAAACATCAGATGTAATCAGCATTAAGACGGTTTAGAGGCTTTTTTCTTTATATAACTAGGTTTCTGAAGGGAAAATTAATCTAATTTGAATTCATTCTCATTACCTGCTCCTTCAAAAAAGTTTCCTTTTCATACAATGATGGGAAAATAGCAAATCTAATTTTTGATGTGATAATTGACTTCAGTTGTGTGAAACTCTCAAAGACACAACCCAAGCACTTCTTTATACGTGGCTTCATACTATATTCAAATGAGAACATGTGTGGTTGATATTTCAGCGGATCTCCCTTTAGGTACATACATTTCAAACAGAATATTTCTTGTTTTTTCAGTTCTGCTTATTGTCATTCAGATTTTTTTGTGTGGAGATAATTTTCAGCAGCTCCAAGTGGCTGTTTTTTTATTGTTTTTTTTTTTAAAGTAAAACATTTTTTAAAAGTTCCTGACTGTATATCACAAGTCTGCAGTGCCACAGTGGTGGGCTCACACTGCGCCTGCTTTCAGTTCACTTAAAAGTCTGTGTGTGTGAGTGTGTGTGTGTGTGTGTGTGTGTGCGAGCGCCTTTGCAACTGCAGGGCCCGTGAAGACGGGGGGACAAATGGATTCCATGTTTGCAGGAAAACACGCTGGAGGCGCAGGAAAACTTTGTTGTTTATGAAGAACACGTGAAACCAATCAAATGTGAATTATCTTCCTGTTGTTGCAGCTTTTGTCGTTTGCAGTTTTTAGTTCTCTCGCCAGCAGTGTCACCACCCAGCGAGCAGGTCTGTGTCTGTGAATGGAAGGTAGGGAGTTTACAGACGCACATGCAGTGAACTCACATGCCCCCACAGAGACAGAGGCACTCGCCGCACATGTGCACTTTAGTGTTTTCACAGCCACTCCGAAAGAGGCCGGACCGTTTTTTTTTACTCCTCAACGTGAGCAGTTACCTCTCCGAAAAAAAAAACAAACCTGTGCCATTAATTCAAATAATCAAACAGGATTGTGTAGAGATGAGCGTCTTGACCCAAAGGAGATTCAATAAAGAGTCAGCCCACAGGAAATGATTTACAGATCTCCTCTACGCATAATAAACCATTATATATTCATCCTTGTTCTGAGCTGGACCGAGATGCACAAAATTCCACTTTTCACAAACCAGGAACATATGCACACGCAAACTAAGAGCAATCGGTGGCACACTTACACGTGCAAACTACGGCCTAACTGCCAGGAAAGCACTTATTTTTCCACCCCGGCCAAAATAAGTGCACAAAATAACATCTAAAAACTAAAATAAAGCATGGCTACATACAGGTAATCTATCTTTTTCTTGATCAACTGTAAGCCAAATGGTGCATTAAGTCATGATAAAGCCATTGCCCCCTCTCCATCCACCATTTCCTCCCCTCTTTCCCCTAATCTGTGCAACTTTCCCATCACATTTCTTCGTCTATTACGCACAGACTCCCAGTCTGTGAGCAGGTGTTGAGCTCATTCAGACGGATCCCTGCAAGGTCAGCTTCATCAGCTGTGATATTGAAAAATTGCCATATAACTCATGAGGGCAACCGCAGTGGATCATGAGACTGTACTCTGAGTGCAATTACATGTGTCTTCTGTGAGAGTCAGAGCTTTATTTCACCACAGGATTACATGTGCTGTGGAAAAAGCTCTGTGATTACAGTTATGAACTGTATTCGCTTTTATATATGATAAGTTTTCGGCTTCAGTGAGCTTTATGGGAATTGTAGATGTAATGGATGAAGTTCCACAAGTACCGGGCCTCAAAATGACATTATTGCAAAATCAATTATGTTGTAATAAAGTCAAATGAAATATTGAGCCTTTAAGCAGCTTGTAGAAGCATCCATCTGAGCAGTGTTGAATATGGTCTTTTTTATTTCTACTCCTGTCTTTTTTTTCATGTGAAAGTTCACTCTGACTAGACTTGTGATGAAGGTGCAGTCGCATTCACGCACAGCTGGATCAGCTGTCCCAACATTCTGGACTGGAGAAGCTGAAATTACAACATGCTCAGAGGGACATCTTAGACACCATGAAATAATACTTGTTTTTTGGTTGCATTCCCACCAAACACCTGAAATGAAGGTACATTTTGTTGTTTTTCTTTGCTTCAGAACCACAACCTATGGAATCAGAAGTTATTTTTCATAACACATTATTACTTTTATAAAACTTTTTTATTATAACAATAATAATAATAATAATAATAATAATAATAATAATAATAATAATAATAATAATAATAATAATAATAATAATTATTATTATT